CATCTATCCGATTACAGGAGTCGGTTATCACAGCCAAATCGGAAGCAGTGTGTACCGTATTCGCTATGTTCACCAAATTCACCAGTGCAGTTCTGATGATACATCAATCGCCATATTCTCTAAAACTTGCCATTTGTAAGCGACAATTTACTCGCAAAGCTCATAATATATCTTAAAACAAACCGCTGATGACCACATTATTTCAGTGCAGCATCGTCCGCGTAACCATCAAGTGGTGAGTAAGAAAGTTTTGGATTCTCTGCTGTTACTTCTGTCCACTCAGCGCTCCTCTCTCCTTTCCCAAGCTGGGGTGGGTTTGGTGGGGAGACCATCTCCCTTTTCGCTAGTTAGAGAATCTTAGCAACAAGGTCATGACAAAATCAACGATACAGCTGGAATGAGCGCGATGTTTTCATTTCATCGTGTGGTATCAGCGGACCGTAACAAGACATTATTGGACCGACCAGAAGGGAATGTGATTGCACGGGTGCCAGTTTCAGTGGATCTGGAGTGATGTCGATCTCTCCTACCACCTCCTCCCGCCCCCTTCATCCACTGTAACATCATAGATATAATGTTACATTGTGGTGCTCAGTGTGCATCCCTCAAGGGCTTGGGTTTTTTTTTTTTTTTTTTAGGTCAGATCTGAACGTTCCGGTGCTCATCACCATCGGTACAATCACTTCGTCACATGAACAGGTGCAACACATCAACCTGAGCCACACCAGCCGGCCGCAATGCCTGCCTCAAAACATTAGTGCACCGCCTCCAGACATTAGTGTACCGCCTACAGACATTAGGCACGGCTCAAAACGTTATGTGCACGGCTCCAAAACGTTATGGCACCACCACATGACATTAGTGCACACCAACCTTACATTCGTGCACCGCCTCCAGACATTCGTGCCCCCACACGCGAATTTAGTGCACGACCCGCATTAGTGCCCACCGCCAGCTTGGAAGAAGTGATGCACGGTGGAGGCGGCGAAGTAGGGGGACTGGAGGCGAGAAAGGGAATGAGGTACAGGGAGGTGGGACTTATGCTCTAGTTATCCGATTATGGTTTAATAATTGCTAAACTTCATAAGTCTACTTTTAGTTAGTCACTTATCACTAACAGATCACTAACTGATCATAACTGATCACTAACTGATCACCTACTGATCACTAACTGATCACTAACTAGTTTTTTTTTTTTTTTTACTAAACTAGTCATTAACTCACAATTGTACACTTTGTACAGTGCTTCAGTATGCGATTCACCATAGCGAACTGCTAGCCCTATCACAGATGATTGAGGATTCTTGAAGCTGTTGAGGGAAATTCACGGACATGTGTTTCCCAGTAGGTTTAGGGTTGGGTTTAGGGGGTTAGGGGGGTTAGGGGCGTTAGGGGGTTAGGGGGTTAGGGGGGTTAGGGGGTTAGGGATTAGGGCGTTAGGGGGTTAGGGGGTTAGGGGGTTAGGGGGGTTGGGGGTTTAGGGGGGTAGGGGGTTAGGGGGTTAGGGGGTTAGGGGGTTAGGGGGTTTAGGGGGTTAGGGGTTAGGGGGGTTAGGGGGGTTTAGGGGTTAGGGGATTTAGGGGTAAGGGGTTAGGGGTGGGTAGGGGTTAGGGGTTAGGGGTTAGGGGTTTGGGGTTAGGGTTAGGGTTAACCCTAAACCCTGTTCGAAAACACCTGATGTTTCGGGAACTATGTCGAGGCTACTTGGATACTGAGTTAGAAACAGGTTCACGCTGATTGTATGCTACTGGAGGACCAACTAGAACTCCTCCTCATAAATTCGGTAAGAACAGTGCGCTGGTCGGCTGCATGGTTGGAATTTTGATCTAGTTTAAAGATTGGTTCCTCTATTGGACGTGCCAGAAGACAGCTCCAGGTTTTCCAATTTATTGTAAAGTTACTCTAATTAAACCCGCAAAACTACTAAGTTTCTTTAAGGCACTGCAAAAAAAGAAGAGAAAGGAACTGGTGTCACCGCGCCGAGGATCTTGATAAAGTTCGTTAGCTGCTCAGGAACTCTGTATCAGGAATAGTTTTACAATAAGTCCGTAATTTGCTGAATAAGAGGTTGTATTGGACTGTTTTGCATAAAAATTTATGAAGCATATCATGCTAAAGTTACATCTCAATTTACTGTTTCAGATAGGAAACTTCTGTTTTCAGTGAGACCAGTATCTAGAAAAGGAACTGGGACTTGCTCCTTGTCACCCTCTGTCGACTGGCTTCCGACTCTCCAGGTCAATACTCCCAACAAAGAAGTTACAAAAACGAGATCCCAAGCACCGGCAACTTCTAAGGAGAATCGTCGTGGAGAATACACTCTTATAGGACAAATGCAGAGTTTCAGGTGGTTCTTCTCGCAAAAGTACCACACTGGATTTCGGTGCTGCAACGATCAGGACGAGAGAAGAAATTTCGGAAAATTGACTTAACCTGGAATACTAACCACCCAACCCGATAGAAATCCTGGGTTGCTAAGGAAGCCTTGCTTGAGGGACCCTTAGACGCCTAAGCCCATCACCACCACCACCACCACAACCAGACTCTAAACTTGTAAACCCGATTCAGATACACATAGAAATAGAATTGTTAGCCAACAAAACCCAAAAACATATCAAATCAGATCAGCTGATAAACAATTTTAGATAAAACTACTTAATATGTAGTTATGTGATAGCATGACCGAAAACCTTCCCTTATTGTGTTCCACAATAAACATTTTAAGAAAGAATTGTCTCAGTTGTTTTCTTTTCTTTTTGTCCTTATGAGGTTACTTTTCAATTTGTTACATTCATGCTTCATTTATTGAATCAATAATCGTGAATTATTTTAAAGCTGAGAAAATTAGATTCGAATACGGTCACAGTGAAGAATAGTGGTAAACGTCAAGGCGCATATACTAAGATTTATTATTTGTTGTTAGTTACCGCAATTTTCCCATAGCATTAAAGCTGAACGCGCACAAATACGCCCACATTCACTCAGGCAATAGTGATTAAAAGCTTAAGCATGATAGAGGGAGCGGCTGCATTAGCCATACGGATACCACCACTGTATGCAACGTACGTATTACACACGCGCATACTTTTATTCCAATCGCGTTTCTGGTTAATCTATGTTTTTAAATGATTTAATTTACCAGTTAAATCGCCCATGATATCAGCTACCAACATGTATAGTTTAGAGGTGACGACCATTCTTTAGTGCTCCTTCATAATGATGAAATTTGCTAGGTAAACAGCTTGATCCGTACGAATAGACACGTTGCACGTGCCATGATTGCTTTGTGCATGTCAATCTTATAGAAACGTTACGAAATTCTTTCTCCTGACCTAAAAAATTCTACCTATCTAAAGATGATTTCTTTCATTGTTAGACAGACGATCTCGATACGAGATAACCCAAGTGAGGAATCAGGATAGAGCCTGATATTCATGAGAAGAGCTTCTTTCGCTGGACACTTGTTTCGATGACATGATAACCTGCCCGTCAATTTGACACACACAAGATCGCTGACACGGTCGAGGTGAGTTTTGGATTGAAAGAAATAAACGAGGTTGAAGGCTTAACTTCATTTATTCTTCCTGGGAGTATCGGAATGAGCCGGATGAGAAAACGATGGATTGATTCCTTCAAGTACACCGAACGAGACCAAAGTTGAAGTTAAAAAAACCTCAACTTACTTCCTAACGGGAAGCGAAAGAAAAGTGTTCGGGCTAAAATAAAGAACATGTTTAGGAATAAATCTTACCGTCGACGAGCAGCGTATGCATTCGACAGTAAATCGACATCACTCGGTGATGGGCTTGCTGCATCCTTGGATAAATTGAAGGTGTTCATGGAGAACTCTATTGAACGTCTCCGACGATCAGAACCGTCATGGCGTCGTGGACCCTGGACAAACTTTGACGACGTGTTCAGTCATGGAGGGAACAACTTTATTCCTTTCATGAATCTAACTCCTGCCACTCGATGGTAAGGAAGATAACGAGGAATAAAAGATAAGGACTAAAGATCATAGAAATGGACTGAAATAAAAAACGGAACCTGAAACCACTACAAATGTGCTTTTACAACCACATACCGGATTTTATTACTACAATACCGATTTTACAACTACAAATCGGATTTTAGATTAAGCAACCACAATATAGATGTCTAAGTCATTTTATTTTAGTCGGCCTTATGCCACAGTGGGGGGAGCAAGATAGAAAAATTACTTGCTCTTCGTGCCAGCCTCGTAGCACTGCTAGATTATGTCGTGTGACAGGGTCTAAAAGAACTAGAGGTCCCACTGCCGCGGATCTGATCTGGCTGATGATCCTGGAGAGCGGTCATCTCCATTAATTGTCTTATCAATTAACCTTGCCTACCTGCCTAGGTCGATCCTGATGAAATCTGGAACGAGTTTCGTGTCAACGCTTCTCTCCATTTATCCCTATCACACATGAGTAAACGCAGCTGGTCAGGTTCCATTCCAGTGTCTTCAAGTAGGACGTCCGGGAAGGTCTTATGTGGTCGTCCTCGATAACGCTGGCCATAGGATGGTTGCCAGAAAAGGAGTTGTTGAGCAGGTTGGTCCTGTAGACGGTAGACATGTCCTGCAAAACGAAGTCTTCGTGTCTTTATAGTATCTGTCACCGATGGAATCTTTCCGTAAAGAACGGAGTTAGGTGTATGTGATTTCCATGAGATACCAAAGACCCTTCGTAGCATTCTAGTATAAACACCGTCTAGTGCTCTGATATCAGCCTTTTTAAGAGTCCAGGTTTCTGCACCATACAGCAGAACAGGTTCTACTGCAGTTCGAAAAATCTTAGTCTTGATCTTCCTGGACATATTAGATTTCCAAAAAGCATCTAGACTCTGTAAAGCTTTCCATGCGAGGCCTTTCCTGACATTGATGTCTCTGCTTGTTGAGGCTATAAAGGATCCCAATTCCCAGGTACTTAAAGTCATGAACTTCTTCTAAAGGGTTGCCGTTAATAAAGACTCTATCGTCAGAGTTGACAGGTCGGCGGTCGCGGGATGTTATAGGACATGTATTTGGTCTTTCCGATGTTAATAAGGAGACCATAACGGGCTGCTATGTCAGAAATGCTTTGGCAAATGCGGCCATTTTCGCTGAAGCTGTCAGTAATTGTTGCTAGGTCATCGGCGAAGTCCAAATCAGCAATGTAGTTACTTCCAACTTTAAACCCATCACGTGGCCCTATTGCTAGTCTTAGTATGAAATCCAGGACGATGATAAAAATGAGAGGTGCAAGAACATCGCCCTGGAGAATTCCGAGGTTGGTAAGGAATTCTAAGGTTATACCTTCAGGGGTCATGATTTTAGCCTTGGTGTTGATGTAGAGTGACATAATGGCTTTTATGATTTTTCTAGGAAAGCCGTAGGAAGCCAGGATGTCGGGAGATGCGATCTGAAGATGCAGTCAAAGGCCTTTGAGAAGTCAATAAAGGAGATGACACAAGGAAGCTGGAAGTTCACAACCTCTTCGATGATACGTCTAAGAGCCAGAATCTGTTCACGAGTCCCTTTTCCAGGCCGGAAACCATTCTGGTTGTATCGGAGGCGAGGTTCTATGTGGCTCCTGATTCGGTTTAGAAGCAGCCTGTTGTAGATTTTCGTGGCAACAGGGAGGATGGAGATGCCTCTGCTATTTTCAGGACAGAACTTCTTAGCTCCTTTGGGTATAGGAAGAATGGCAGTGACAAGAAGCTCTTCCGGGGCTTTACCAGTAGCTAGCATGTTGTTGAACAGAGATAGTAAAGTAGTGTCCAAGTCAACACACTTGTACAGCAGAGAAGGAATTCCGTCATGACCGTACGTATCCTTTGTCTGCTTGAGAGCTGTAGATAGTTCATCTGCTGAGAACGGTGACGTTTCAATTGGGAGTTCTGGCTTTTGGACTTCAAAGCTACCCATTCTGATGTTGTCAGCAGGATTGTAAAGCAGTTTGCTGTAGTGGTCAGTCCACGCCTTTGCTCGATCTGCCTTGTTTCTATATCCAGGTAATGGAGACATAGATTTAGGCTTACGATTGGTAAGGTCGTTTATAAGCTTCCACGCAATACCAGAGCTGTTTGATTTCGTCTGCCATGCTGCATACCCTGGGTGGTTTGCGGGTTGCGGAATAAACAGCTGATCTACTTGATCAATTGTCTTATTAACAAACGCTTCTTGTATGCTGGTTTCGACCTTCCTGACTTCAATGGTGGCATCACGGAGGGCTTTAGTAGCAGCTCGTGTCTTTCTTTTGTGACTATCTTTCAACGCAGCATCTCGTGCCTTGACAGCAGCCCGGTACTCAGGATTAGATGAAATCTGAGCAGTTAGACTAGTCTTCTTCCTTTTGGGAAGTACTTTCTCTGCTGTGTCATTAATAGCACTTATCATGTTGGTGTATGCATGCTGGTTGTGTTGGACGAGGTCATCAGTCTCGTTCTCTTCATCCAATAAGGCAGTGAACCTATTCTGGAGCTGGAGTTGGAAGGCTGTTGCAGTTGCAGTGTTACTTTTTAACTCCTCCCAGTCATACTTGATTACCTTAGGTCGGACGATGTTGGTCCTTATTGACAGCTTGATAGTCGCTGTGACAACCCGATGGTCAGATTGAACCGAGGGATTAATGTATGACTCACAGTTTTTAAGTGAATTCTGCCATTTTGAGCGAATGAGGATGTGGTCATTCTGATGCAGTTGACCATTTGGTGCTGTCCAAGTCACCTTTTTAGAATGCTTTTTGTTAAACTTTAGCGCACCGATGGTAAACGCGTTTTCTTGGGCAAAATCAAGAAGATGCTGTCCGTTTCGGTTTGTACATTCATAAAATGCGTTGGTGTTGCAGGTGTCTTTTCCAAGGTGAGCATTCAGGTCGCCAGCTATAGCTACTACGTCATGAGGTGGAAAAGATCGGACACAAGAAGTTAACTCTGCATAGAACTGTTCAACTTCAAGGTCTGTAGATACATTAGTAGGTGAATGACAAGTAACTAAGTGTGTGCAAACTTCACCGGTAAAAGAAACAGACATTATCCTGTCTGAGAATAAGTTATGGTCGATGTAGCAGCGTTGGGCCCAAGGGGAAAGGAGGAAGCCAAGTCCGAGGAGCGTTCTACTTTTAGGGGGAGGAGATGCTAGGAGGAACTTGTAGCCATCACGCATTATATAAGGAGTCTTCTTAATACGATGCTCTTGAAGTGCAATCACAGGTATGTCAAAGGCTTTGGCTTTGCACACAAGTTCCCATTGCTTCCATTCTTCAGTGAGAGATCTTACATTGTAAGAAAGGTAAAAGGATTCTGAGATTTTTTTGTTGATTTTTGGTTTTTTGATGGTCCTTCTTTTAACCCAGATACCATCGGCTGCTTCTCTCCCCGAAGGGTTTAAAGGTGCAGCGTCATCATGAGCTGGACTATCAGAAGGAGAGGTAGGGGCTGGAACCCTAGTTATAGAAAACCGGAGTTTCTTGGTATTTAGTGAATGCTAGTCAAGTTCTAGTCACGTAGCACGAACGGCAGGGCGTACCGAATAGTAGAAATGAAACGAGTAACTAAAAGGGATCTAATTAAATATAAAGGAAAAGTAATACAAAGTGAACGTCAACAGATAAAAACCTCCAAGTGTTCGCTCTAATCAATTGATGTGATTATAGATCACTCGACGTGTCTAATCACTAATTGGTAGTGCTCAGTAAGACTGGCTACCGTCAATTTGAATCCCTTAAAATGATTAAGGGGCAACTAAGAAGTGAGCTCTCCACTTCCGGTTCTCCCGGTATACTCTCAAAACACGTCACGCCACACTGCGTGACGGCACAACGCATCTGTTTGCACCACGTGACTCGCAGTCTCGCCAATGAGCACTCCACTAGCAGTCACCCTGTGTCCGCGAGGACCAACCACATGTCTGGGCGTCTGGCTGTTAATCAGGTGCAAAATGAGCGGACGGCTCGTTTCAGACAGTTAGTCTGACAGTAGTTCTGCCAGCCAACCGACTTACACTCAAAATGTGTAACTCCCAAATACGAACATATAAAAACATTGGTTATTATATAATACCCGGAAACACATACTAAATTCTACGTCCCTTAAACGTTATACTAAAACTAAGATATCCTAAAAGATAATCTCCGAATACCATATTACAACATAGTGCTGTAGTTGTTTAGTTCGTTGTAATGTTGATAAACGGGTGCGTGGCAAAAAACTTTGCGAGTACCAGAGTAAAGCTAGGGGTTGGTAGCCCACTAGCAACAAGTCCAAGATCTCAGGCAACCAAAAAATGACTGATAAGAGAACTGAGGGTCTGCAGCCACACACAGACAGTGAGGGAGAGTAAAATAGGGGGGTTTTGTGCCTCAGTACACAGAACCTAAAGTCATCAAGCTGTGAGGAGGTTCTTCATTCTTACAGCAGAAGTAGGCTAGAAACTGTGACATCAACATGTTTCTAGTTAAAAGGGAGAGTGTTCTGAATAACTCTGATGGCCAGACTGCCATCTTGATGTCCGCTGGAAGTAGTGCGCTCGTCGCATCTGCCACTCAGCATACCTGCAGCAGGCAGGATCCTCTGAAGCTCTTGCTACACGGCGTTAACTGTATCCGTGCATTACCATTCCCGGGTGTCAGTAGCGCGAGTCTACTGCTCGGACCCACTCCAGAGTGAGGAACAAAAATCAATCCAAAATGAGGGACATACTAATATTATATCAATTAACCAATGACATAATATTAGTATGTCAACCAGTCGCCATTTCATTTCAAAGTATGTTATACTTCAAATCTTATAGAGCAAAAATTCTGATTCAGAAGAATCTTTTTAAATCTCGTCTCCATCAATCACTGCAACTAAACATGTAACAGGTTTAAATTCAAAATCTAAATTTTCCTTACCTATCATCAATCATACTATATATATACTCTTAGTCCATCAATAATAGTAATACCCATCTCTTTATGCAGCTGCAAGTTATTTTGGAAGATCAAGATGCACAAATAAGGAAAACAGTGTCATTACTTCATTGACATTAGGGTATTTCGTCCGGTCAGATAACATAAAACTAAAAGTTCACTAACAATGAAGGGAAACAATACTAAATAAGGCAAGGGAAGAAAATCAATCGACCATGCGGATTGGAATCATTTTGTTTGCATGATATTAATTATTCTCCTGTTTCTTTTGTAATCGAGCGATCATAAATATCAAAACATGAACGCGGGGTAAGTCCGAACTTCTTCTTGAATCTTGAGATCACTGGTGCCTGTAGTTTTGAAGCCATCGGTCTCTGAAGCATATTGCTTTGAGGTGTTCTGCTCTTGGGGTCAACGTCTGGAGCGCAGTGCAAGGTTTATCTGGATACCAATAACGGTTGCCCTGCTAATCTAGTATTGCTACAAATCTAAACCCGTGCGATATTCATATAGCGGTTTTACTATTTCGGTTTCCCAAACACTATCACGTGACTTGAGTTTCTACTGTTTTGCTTGACATACGTTGTACGTTGCATGCCACTTTTCGCGCCGCCGGATATCTCTGATATTTGGAATACGAAACATGTATCAAGGTTCTGCAGTCGAACAAAACCGAAAACGGCTTTACTACTTTTACACAAACCCGAAGCTTATCATGACCGTAACGACAACCCTGACCTTTATTGATCTAGTTTGCGTCTTATTATAGCGGCCTGTCATGTGACCAAAACAGTTTATTTACCAGTAAATTCTCCGCCTCAGTCCTCGACATGGAAGCATCTTTAAAATTGTTGTTGAAAAATACCACGAAATTTGTTACTTTCGTACCACAGGGCCTTTTCACAAGATTGAACAAAAATTTGGGCGAGCGATTTAGTAGGACAACAGCTATTTATTGTGGATTGAGGGATCGGTTGGTGAATTAAACCAGTTTACCCGACTCCTGAAAACTCTCTTAGTGAAAAATGGAGAATCACCTATATCTGATATTGGGCACATTTTCAAATGTGAAATTTCCAGCACCAAAGTATTTTACTTGACAAGCGGCGGGTTGAGTTGTTTCAGAAACAGCATAGAAAAATGCATTGAATGAAGATGCTTTCACAGTGCGCAGGCTCAGGGCCCTTGTGTAAACAAATTGATGAGGATCCTTGTCGTCTGGCGAGTGATTAATACAATCACCAATGTATGTACTGAGACTCAATTTGGGTGCCAAATTCTTCACTGCTTTCGTGAGTCGTGATCTGCTTTCCCCATCTCCAATACCCCCCCCCCCCCCCCCCCGTAAGCTATCACAACGGATTAATGAATGAAATAATCGCAAAGCACTTACTAAACAAAAATTGGTTTAAAAAACGAAAATGTTGATTACATAATTAACGAAAATTGTCCAATTGGTATTTCGAAAATCGGTAAAAATTTAAAATTTTGATTACGTAATCAACGACCAACCCCCCCCCCCCCCGTAATCAACCGTAAGCATTTGAAAACCCCCCCCTCGGCTGATTACGTAATATGTGAACGACCCCTAAGGATTTATTATACAACAGCCAGAATTCATCCTGGTCTGCTTTAGTCTTTACCCGGGGAACGAGTAACGACTTGCTACCTTTAACACAGCTTGAGCTACTACCCCCGTTCGTAGCTCGGATGTGGTTTGTGTCCCTCAGATTGGATGTGGTTTGTGTCCCTCAGATTGGATGTGGTTTGTGTCCCTCAGATTGGATGTGGTTTGTGTCCCTCAGCTCGGATGTGGTTTGTGTCTCTCAGATTGGATTTATCTAAAACTTTTCAAACAATACATAATTATACAGAATTGAATGCTTCTAAATAAACCCAGTTATAAAAGGAAAAAACCGATATAGCCCTAATTTTCACTATTCCAGAATATCGAAACCCAAATTATGTATTGAAAGAGGGGTAACCAAAACACGGTAGTGTGCAGTAATACCACACCCGCAATAACATTGGGCCCTAACAACAATTAATTAATCAATGAATCAAAACATATAATATTGTACGTCTTATAGATGTGTTTTGTGTCCCTCAGATCGGATGTGTTTTTTGTCCCTCAGATCGGATGTGGTTTGTGTCCCTCAGATTGGATGTGGTTTGTGTCCCTCAGATTGGATGTGGTTTGTGTCCCTCAGATCGGATGTGGTTTGTGTCCCTCAGATTGGATGTGGTTTGAGTCCCTCAGCTCGGATGTGGTTTGTGTCCCTCAGCTTGGATGTGGTTTGTGTCCCTCAGCTCGGATGTGGTTTGTGTCCCTCAGCTCGGATGTGGCTTGTGTCCCTCAGCTCGGATGTGGTTTGTGTCCCTCAGATCGGATGTGGTTTGTGTCCCTGATCAGATCAGATGTGGTTTGTGTCACTCAGATCGGATGTGGTTTGTATCCCTGATCAGCTCGGATGTGGTTTGTGTCACTCAGATCGGATGTGGTTTGTGTCCCTCAGCTTGGATGTGGTTTGTGTCCCTCAGATCGGATGTGGTTTGTGTCCCTCAGCTCGACAACTGTAAGCATGAACCGCACCTCCGTGATTCAGTTTGTCTTTGAGATCACCGACCTTTGCTAAAAGGAGGAACTAAATTTTTCTGACTACAAGCAGGAAACCTGAAGTATTATTATATGATTATAATATGTGACCTTCGAGCTTGTCACTGCACGGGGTAGTCGTACGAGGGGATATTAGAAATATATTAAAGTCATCGAATTATAAATCAAAATATGCTTGTTATGCGGGTTATGTTACTGGGTAATATATTAGTATTACTGGTTAATCAACTGTATAATATAGTCTACGGGTGCTTTTTTACTTGCTTAAAAGCTTATTATTATTATTAAAATTGCGAGGCTTTCAAAAAATAGAAAGCTGAGTTTAAACAAGTAGAGCAAGAAATACAAACTTCATTCTCTTCACTCCTTAAAGTTAACCTGGTCCCTGGATTAATGCCAACATTTTACAAGAAATCAGGCCGGCGTAGTACGTGTTATACTTATATAGATACTGATAGTTGCTGCTCCAAATCCAATCTGTACTGATTAGTGCTAGTAGCTGCTTCACTGACTCAATCTTCAAGTTCCTGCTGAGTTAAACAGGTCTAAAGAGTGCACTGTATTCTAGATTATAGCTGATCCACTTTGACAAAACCGGTCAGCTACTCACTAAGTAGTATGTTCATTGGAATGGAACTATAAATACCAGCAGGTTAAAAATACCTGCTCCTCCCAGTTAAGATCTGGTTTCTTCTACTATGATTCCGGAAACTTAGAGCTCAGGAGAGCAGAGAATTTGAAATTAAATTCCTCCTGAAAAGAAGTATTGTGCAGATTCGAAATTGCATAACTAGAACGGCAAACTCGTTTAAAAAATCATCACATTAATCTAGTACTGGAGAAAGCCATGAAGCATCCGAAAATACATCGATTCAGGCTGGTTTCAAAGTTTCAATTGCATGTTGGGCGCTCTTTAGAAAAATCTCGAAGATGCGATCGAGTGTAAAATGATTTAGCACGCTCGTAATAGAAACACAACCTGTGCTTCTATATTAAGTGCCTCATATTTCCGGTAACTCTGCTCATTTTAATCCAATTTTACTTGAAATGCCGCCCACTGAAAGGCATCGAACTGAACTTATATTACCTTTACAAATTGAAATAGCATTATCTATTCAAATTGGCTGGTTGCTAATAAGATCATACCGGGTATATAGCTCCACGTTTTGCAGATAAAACCGGTTTTCTTAATATAACTGAAATATAACCCAGTTAAACTGCTTTTGTTTGCAGCGTGCCAAGTTTTTCTAAACTCCGGTTATTATAAGATGTGACTCTCCCTGGACCGGTTCAAAGTTTAACGTTTCAGGTTATATGATTTCTTAAAACATCAACAAATGAAACACAGGTTTGCTATGCAGGAGAACTACGAATCTCCTCCTCCAGCCAGTCTCTAGCTATATTATGAGCAGGAACAGTTCGTACGTTGACTACATATTTATTATTGTAACTGGTTACAGTTACAACCAGTTACTACTATAACATACGTCGTACTGGTAACACGAGATTCTGGTTGGATTTGCAGTTCTATAATACAGGGTGACCAGAGTTAGTCATAGTGAACACCTTTCAGGAAATTGTTAAGCCTAAGGGGGCCGGGGCTTGGTGGCATTTTGATTGAAAAGTACCTCCTGGCAAGCCAAGACGGTACGACCCATAAGTATAAAAATGAATGAAGGGGCCGCAGACTCTGGGAATCTCGGTGTAAACAGAAATTGGACTGCCTCTACGAGTTTATTGAATGACCAAGGCATTTTGGGATAAGTAATAGTAAGATAGGCGTGGTGATGTGGTACTTACCACAAACAATACGATCGATTAAACTGAAAGTTAAGTTTTACTGCCCGGAGAGACCTACTATATATATATGACGTGTAGGCATCAGGTCATGTTATCCAAATCCGGGGTATTTGTTGATAGAGGGCCTGCTGATGTGCCAAATTATAATATTGTACTTGTAATTGGTGTGCACCGGACTTGTAGTTGGTATTAGTGTCCTGAGTATTTCTCTCAAAATCTATTTTATAGTTGTATCTGATAGAGGGGAGTGATATTTATCAGCTGCTTTTGGTCCTATGGAAAAATATTGTTTCTATCCGACATTATTCATATTGGCTGTTAAAAGTCAGCGCTTATCCGTAATTGTATTGTGTCAGTGATTTACAATCTCGCACGTACACTAAATTGAACTTCAAAATGAATCTTCTCCTACAACTATTTAATGTTGGGATAGGCCTTTAGACACTTTAGATCGATTTAAAAAATTGACAGCCCTCTAAAAATCTTCAAAAAAATCAGGTCAAGATTTTCAAACTTTTTGGAAAAATGAACCAAATCATGAATAAGAATCTTATGAGAAACCAGAATGAAATTCATAACGTTTATAAATTGATAGCATTAGCAACTCAATTAGCTTTGTTCCATCACAACTACATAACTTCTAAACTCGAAATTCTGGTTATTATAATTCTTGGGATTTCTGACCTCTCTCTGAACCGGACCAAGTTTTTTGTTAGAGATTGTGAGCAGGTATTCTTATAGTAGAGCATTATTGTAATGGAAAATGTATGAAAATAAGTTGTTTTTATACGTAAATATCAAAATGTGTATATTATTAATGTCGATTAATAACACAGCTCTGATTGAGCGATAATGTAGGAAGTAAAAAGAATGTTTTGAAATTAAGTGAAGTTTGTGTCATTATTCTTGATTTGATTTAGGGGCAGGTCGTAGGTCTTTATTGTACATTGTAACTGGTTATACGTGACACACTATATACTGGTTATACTGGTTTTATAACGCGAAATTCTGGTTGGGTTGGGTTTGGTTCTATAAAATATGAGGAATATGTTGGTCAGTCACTATTTCTGATTGAAGCTGTTTGAGTTTGTTACCAAAGACTAGTTTGTTACCAAAGACATCATGCCACGAGCAACTGGGGTAAGGGTAAGCGTGTGGACCACTTTTTACCTCCCGAAAACGTTACCTCGTAACTTTTTACCTCCGACTCTGCTCTTTCACTTTGAACTGAAGTGTAAACTTTGCGAGATACGTTTTCGAGGGGTAAAATGTTCGTTCCTTATGATCATGAAACTACAGAACCCTATATCAATAGTGCCACTATATCATATTATATAGTGGGAGTTGGGACTGGGATAATTACCCGAATCTGGCTATTTTTAAAGCCGATATTTTCCGGTCTACAAAAGGCTAATATCCTGCCGTTCCCTGTTTACAATAAAAATAACTTAATTCGTTATCTCAGGGATTTTTGGAGAGGTTGGATAGAGGACCAGTGATTGGAGATGGTGGATTTGTGTTCGCTCTGGAGAAACGAGGATATGTTGAAGCTGGACCTTGGACTCCTGAGGCTGTGATTGAACACCCAGAGGTGTGCAGATCAAAATTTAATGATTTAAATTAACCATGTCACTTTCCAAACTCTTAAAAAAACTTATTGTTTCATTAAAGATAGCAAAATCTTTGCTTTGAGCTTTATTTCTATACCATTTAAAGTAAATACTGACGTTGTCCTCAATCAGGCAGTGAAACAACTTCACAGAGAGTACCTGAGGGCAGGGTCGGACGTTTGCCAAGCTTTCACCTTTTACGCCAGTGAGGACAAGCTGAAGAACCGAGGACATAGTGCAGGTTCCCATGGGGTAAGTTTTGTAGAGCTGGTGATTTCTGTCAAGGTTGTTGTGCATATTTGACTTTCGATCAGCAATGAATTGTTATGTTGAATTAAAATATAAGGTTTTTCATGGTGAATAGAACACCTGCTTTAATTCTTCTAACAGTACCACTTTAAATTGTACAGCAACTAAAACCACATATCATCCGTTCAGGTAATGGAAATTAACCAAGCGGCATGTGACATAGTAAAAGAAGTAACCTACCCAGAAGGAGGACTTGTAGCTGGAGGACTATCCCAAACTCCAACCTACATCACTACACAGGACAAGGCCCTGGTGCAGGCTGAGGTCAGGAAACAGTGCGAGATCTTCAAGAAGAACGAAGTCGATCTTATGATATGCGAGGTGAGTTGGGCAATTCAATTTTTCTTAACCTTTCAGCTGATCATAATCAAACTGTGGTACTGGTATTAAATATTGTTACCCGTTAAATTTCACTCCCTTGCATCATTTTATACTCTGGACAGAATTTGTAATTTTCTACGTTTCAGTACTACGAGCATGTGGAGGAGGCTGAGTGGCATGTAGAAGCCGTCAAAGACTTCATGCCCGGAGTTCCCGTATGCGCCAGTCTTTGCATCAACGAGGATACTGATGTTCACGGTGTCCCAACTGGAGAGTGCGGAGTAAAGTTGGCACGAGCAGGCGCTGATGTTATCGGAATCAACTGCCATTACGATCCATTCAGATGTTTAGATGCGGTTAAGAAGATGATTAAATATGTCAAAGCAGCTGGTTTTGATAAGGTTTGTAAATTTGAGTTTTAACCGATATCATTCTCGTTGAAATAACTTTAGCTAGACTCTTTACTACATGACAATGGGCCAGATTATATCTAAAATATAACCGAAATTGTTGTTTCAGGTACATTTCATGATCCAGCCTCTTGCGTTCATGACCCCGGATGCCAGTGTCCAAGGCTTCATTGACTTACCAGAATTCCCCTTCGCTCTTGAACCTAGGATTTGCACCAGATGGGAGATGCAAAGATATGCAAGAGAATCGTATGAAGCAGGTCAGGATAATATCTTTAACTTTATTCGATTTATCCTAAATATCAACAAGACCATTGGTGTTTCCCAGCAGCCCTACATTAAATTAGTATAATATTTGTTCTTTTCGGTTCAGGCACCTCCCGGCTCCCTATGAGATATCTTTTAACACTAACACAAAACTCCTAAATAAAGTACATCCATTTCTTCATAGGTATCAGATTTATTGGAGGATGTTGTGGGTTTGAGCCGTATCACATCAGAGCAGTAAGTGAGGAACTGACAGCAGAGAGGGGAGGCTTCCAGCCAGCTAGTGGAATGATCAACTGGGGCGCGTGCCTCAAGAAACACACCAAACCTTGGGTTAGTTTCATTCTAGAATCTATAAGATACGTGTCATTTCATAACAGCTCTATTGATAGACCAGGCACGTTTTGTGCCTGCAGAAATCTAAGAATCTTGTTTATCAAGAATTTGATTTATTTTTCCGGGGCAAAGGAATGCAGCTGCTGTGCCTGTACAGAATTGCTCCAGAACAGACTAATTTAGAGAGCCCTAGTAATAACTGGGGTCATAACGATAAAATCTGATAACTAATAAAACCTGTTTAACAGGTCAGAGCCCGAGCTAGCAAGGAGTATTGGCAGAACCTGAAACCGGGCACTGGTCGACCTTACTCTAGCTCACTCAGCAAGTGTGACCAGTGGGGAATCACAGCAGGTAAGCTGACATAATCTCATTAGTAGTAATTAGATCAGATACTTCTAATTACTTCTAGTTACTTCTAGTTGTTTCTAGTTACTTTTCGTTATTTCTAATTACTTCTAGTTACTTAAGCCCTTTTAATAATGGTTCTAGTAGCTCATTGTTTTAAATATTTCGGAATTTTTGTAAATTATTATAACTTATTTCTTAGGTCACGAGTTGGTGCACCAACACGAAGAGGAAACCGGTGAAGAAGAACTGAAAAAGGGACTTGACTTCAAGAAGAGGCTGGTACATAAGGGAGTGTGTTGAGGCACGTATTTATCATAATTAATTAGCATTATTAATTAATTAGCATACTAGTACTCAGCAGGAACATATAACAGAACTAGTATGTATTAAACCAGAGGGTTTTTAACGTTCATTTTAGTTTTTAATTTGGTATTTCAGCATTGAGACTTTTTCACTGTCGTTGGCGATCAAGCTTGTGTAGTGCCAACCAATCAGTTATTTTAGCTGGAGTTTAGTTTTTTGTTTGTGTTACACGCTTTTTCTGATTTTTAAATGATGATGAGCTATTATTGGTTATTTCAAAGCCTATTGTGAAAATGTATTAAAATTATGAATTTCAACAATCGAATTTTTCAATTTTCAATCAAATATACAAAATTTACCTCGCATAAACTGTACTCACACTAAAGACAGTCAATAGCTTTACTTAGTAAGACATGACATTGCACGATCAATCTTCCACTGTGAAGGGTTTATATATCATACTTACATGTATATTTATAATCCGTTTAATATGGCCTTACCATGTACCACGCTGTGGTACTTAGAAATCATTAAGTATTAGTAAGTAGAGCCTTCCCAGTTCCCAGGCCTGCAGGGCCCCAAGAATCAAGATAATCGTAATAATTATGGTATGCATGTTAGTCGTGATCCAACTTTAAAAGCTCATTTCATCAGTTAGTACTACTAAGTAGACAAGTCACCTCCAAATTGATAACGATTTCAAGCAGTCCATGACGATCTTTATCACAATACATCACGAATATTCGAAATTTTCCCACTCCCCCAAAAAAATCTCAGCCGTAAGTTTCAATCTTGGCACTTCACCCTTTGTTTGTTGATTATCTCGTTCAGTGCAATCGTATCGTGTCTGATAGGTTGCGCAGTTCTTACCAGGAGACATGTCTTTAGTACCAGTTGACACCGCGTGCCGGCATTCGGCAACATCGCTCATAATCCCGCTCCTTTTCTCTCCGTTAACCCAGCGCTTTACGGCTCGCGACTTTTAGCAGTGTTTTCTCAGAAAACAGAGAAATTTTACTAGTACTAGTACTGTCACAGAGTTGGCTAAAGAGTTAACTCTGAGTAGCGGTGGTACAAAAAAGCAAAACTCCCATGGGAATTTTACTTTTTTGTTTAGAAATATTCTTCGTTAGAATACTTGCAGTGACGATTGGTTGATTAGCATCCAGCACTGGTTAGATCAATTCAGTGGCGACTGATTTCTCAAGAATTAAGTTTTAATTATGTTTTAATCAGATGGTAACAGGTAAGGACTGCATGTACAGTGACTGTCCAGTCTTGCTCGTGGCAACGCGTGACAGTTAGGGCTAGTTAACGTGCTTGTTGTTTGCTTGTTCAGTAATCGTTGAGTTAGCCAAGTGGTCATGATCTATCCTATAGTGATAATGACCACAGTCCCAGTGGCGTAACGTTGCCTGTTGGCGCCCCCCTGCCGAAAAAAGCGCCCCCCTGTTGGCGCCCCCTCCCCTTTTGGTGCCCCTCCCTAAAATTGAACAAATTAGGTGATTTTAGAGAATACGCCGGTAAAATCTCTAAAAAAGTGTGTATCTAGAGCAAAACGCGCAGTTTTGCTAGTACTTTAGTACTGCACAGTCCCCTGCGAAGAAGGAGAACCTGAAAATCCGATCGTTGGGTTCAGTTGTCGTATTTCCGATTTTGGTTCAGCTGTGATATGACCTGGGTTCAGTTGTCGTTTTGGGATTTAAGCAGATTGGACACCCAATTAAGCTGATTGGGTGCCTGTTAACTGCGTGGGAACTAGGTTCAGTTGGGTTCTGCAGATGTCGGTCACCCGACCTAGACTGCAGATTAGTCCGTGTATAGTCTGTATAGTCTGTATAGTCCGTATAGTCTGTATAGTCTGTATAGTCTGTATAGTCTGTATAGTCTGTATAGTCTGTATAGTCTGTATAGCCTGTATAGTCTGTATAGTCCGTATAGTCTGTATAGTCTGTATAGTCTGTATAGTCTGTATAGTATGTATAGTCTGTATAGTCTGTATAGTCTGTATAGTCTGTATAGTCTGTATAGTCTGTATAGTCTGTATAGTCCGTATAGTCTGTATAGTATGTATAGTCCGTGTAGTCTGTATACCAGCCGTGACCCAGTTGAAAACACGCTTAATTACGTAGCACACATTCCAATTATTCACATGACATAGAAACATAATATGTATATTATGCATATTAGACAATTGAAACGAGCAGCAAGTTGAGTCCAGACTCACCTCTAGAAATAATAAACACAATTACATACTTAGCAAGATTGTCTATCCTCAGCCTCTGTCTTAATATCAGTAACGGTCTTAACTCCTTTTAGGCACTTATATTATATTACACTCACAGTAGGGAACTTCAAATGAGAAAACTAGTTGCTTTTTACTCGTTAGCTTCAATTTGAATTGCCCACATGCCACAACTAATCGATAGTTAGGTATTGTGAATCAATGAGTTCAGAGTTGAAATACATGTGTGTGAAAATTGATCTGCCTCACAGGAGGACTATAGTGCAAAGAAACTGCTGCTCACTCACTATAGTCCTCCTGTGGCCAGTCTCAAAACCTTTCCCTTGACGATTCGTCAAATTGTGAAAAAAAAGTTATCGTTTTTTGTTAACGTTACCAATGGCTAGGGTCTCACGTCTCAAACAGCTATTACGACGTGTTTTCTTCTATTGTAGAACTAGAAGCAAGTACGCGGTCTAATTCAAGTGTGTGAGGCTCTCTCATGTTTAAACAATAGATCAACAAAATTAACGAGACATTAACTTTGTTGAACAAAATGTTTTTATTCATCTATGCTCCTGCTGTAGCACACAGATTTGTAGCTTCAATTTGCCAACGACTTGAAAATACATGTGTGTGAAAATTGATCTGCCTGTCTCAAAACCTTTCCTTGAAGATTTGTCAAATTGTGTCAAATTGTGAAAATGTTATCGTTTTTTGTGAACTTTACTATTATTAATGGCAGGGTCTCAAACAACAATTCCGTTATGTTTTCTTCTATGGGCCGTCTGTTGTTTCATTTCGTTTCCAATTGATCGAAATAGATATCTTTTTAAAAACTTCACGCATCTGTCCTGTTTATAACTTCCTTTATTTCTTTGAATTTTTTAGATTAAGATATGATTTGTTTTTCGATCGACTGTATAGTAACTTCTGATCTTTGAAGTTGATACGTATTATCAATAAATAAATAAATAAGTGAACCGAAACTATAGTCACTGCTTTATCTGGACTTTTCTAGTTGAGATAATACTCACGTGATTAAGCCACGTGATGGTGATTACCACATGGTGATTACCATGGTGATGGACGATGGTGTGATTTGTACTCACCGAGCAAGTATAGTACACAGTTTACTGGGCGGCGCTCTGGTGCTCAGTCTACGTCTGGTAATCCGCTGCAGCTTGAACGTTATAGCCTGGGTTCCCTGCGGTCCAATTAGCCAACAATGTAACTCTAACTGTCTCTCTTATACAATAGATCAACAAAATTAAACAAACAGCATTAACTTCTTTGTTGACCAAATGTTTTATTCAACTAGGCTCCTAAGTCCTACTATCTCAGTATCTCACACTAATTTGTACGCTCCTGTCTGTGGGGTTATACTCGGCCATCCTTAGCTTCTCTCAGACTATCGAGCCACTTTCTTTCACGTATTCCTGGGAGGGATTGTTCCTACCAATATTTTTTATATTGCTTCTAAGTTTCTTGTTTAACAATCTAAACACTCTTATCCTTACTATTACACAATACAAGCTATAACTTGGCTGCTTCCCAAATTGTACTGATTCGTACTCTGTGCTCCTTAATCCTTGTGTACAATAACAATTATTATATATAATAACTCAAAACAATAATAATAAAGCAGTAATTTGGGAAAAAGATAGGACAATGAGGAGAAAACTATAAAAAATTACCCTACACAATTTTTTTGAGCTCAGAATCCTCATTCTCTCATCGGATATCCCACTTTATATAATCATGCCACCAAAATCCACTTATATTATTCATGTGCCTTATTGAGTTATATGAAGGATTAAGGGTGATCTGCTTATTGAAGTTGTTTATAGTTTCTGGTTACCGGCTCTCTTTAGTAAACAATCGCATTGTTTAATTTGCGTGACTGTAAGCAGAGACATTTACCATTCAATATAATATCGCAACACAAATCATCCAGGGTTTTATATATATTACTGTGCATTGTTTATGGATTAGTCTGCAGAAGAACAATGACGGTTAGCTCGGTGTGTCGATCGCCATTAAGATAGCCTAGAATTTATTATCAAGGTTTGCATATGTAACATACCCACACTCCATATTCTCTCTCCATCACCATGTCTATGCATGTCTCTGATTTTTTCCTACTCTTGCCGAAGGCAAAAAGATCGTAGGGAATAAGAAATCGGGTTTGTATTGGATATATGAGGTGGCCCGACGGACCTGCGTTGATGACAAAAGTCGCAATATGTAAGTATGTTGCACTTTTTTCCGGTCACACTTTTCACTCGAAAAATTAATGGTACAAGTACGGAGTACCTCGTAGGGAAAATTGATCGTGCGTGGTTTAACCGCGGCGAAATTCTTGTTGGTTCGTGAGTTCAAGTTTGGATTTTGTATAAAAATGAATTTATGATTATTGTGGTTGTTATAAACATCAAATCTGTTGTTAATTCGAACGAATGAAAAAGCCGCGAGCGATTTAACTCATTAAAAAAACTTACACTTCAATCTCGTCGTTAACTAAGCCCGGGTTTTCCTCCTTCGTCAGTAATGCTGCCTCCGCTAAACTTTGTTTTAAGTATGTTCTTCTGTCACATTTTAGAAACGTATTTTGATTACTTGACAGTTTTTTTGCAGGCTGATGCAGGTTTTCGACTGAGCGGGTTTATACTTTTGCGCCGTTTTCACTGCGACAGTATTACATTGTATTGAATACTACATAATATTATATTTTATATCATATATTTTGAATTTGTAATAATTATAATATAATACTAGTATTAGTATAGTACCTATTGAACTGCATTATAAGACTAGTACTAGATAGTAGTATCGCGATACTTTTATAGGATTGTATTATTACTTAGAGTTAGACAATCAAGCTGGGTCACAAGATCTGTAATTACAGCTTGTCTTTTAGTTTTATCTATATACTTATAGTGGCCATCAAATAGGTCAAAAGTGAAGTTATATATATAATATTATTAGGCCGCGTATAACTATAATAAATACATACCGCCCGGGATCATTTAAATATTGCAAATTATAGCATATTATTAAGCTATTTATATAATGTTAACAATGTTTGCTTGTGTG